ATCACGCATGTCGGTAGGAACAACGAGTAGGAAGGCTTTGTCGCTACCACGGGCGTTTTTCTTGTAAAGAATGCCTCGTCTTAGACAAAAAGAGGACAGTTCGCGGGCAATGTGTTGAGGGACCTGAGAGTTGCGGCATTCCAGGGAATCAATTACTGGGCGTAATTCATCGTCTGCCCGCTGCTTTGACATAAATTCGGAGTCACTAACTGCTCCGAGAAAGGCATCTTCATCTTCGGAGCCCCTGACAGCGTTCCCCACAGGTGCTCGAGAAAGCGCGTCGGCGTCTTCGTGTTTGCGCCCTGACCTGTACACAATCGTAATATCAAACTCCTGCAAAAGAAAATTCCACCGTGCGAGATGGCCGTATGGATCTCTGAGATTTGCCAGTCAGCAGAGCCAGTGGTGGTCAGTCACCACTTTGAAGGGACGACCGTAGAGGTAAGGCCGAAATTTGGTCGTCGCCCACACGACTGCGAGGCATTCTTTTTCTGACGTAGAGTAGTTGGTCTCAGCTCGAGAAAGAGTACGACTGGCGTAAGCTATCACATGCTCAACGCCGCCGTGTCGTTGTACAAGGACAGCGCCAAGTCCGACGTTGCTGGTATCTGTATGAATTTTTGTAGCAGCGTCCTCATCAAAATGGGCAAGAACAGGGGCTGTTTGCATTCTCTGTCGTAACTCTGTGAACGCTGTATCTTGTTCTGCGCCCCAAGTAAAGGGTACGTCATCTCGGGTTAGTCGCGTAAGAGGTTCAGCTATCTTAGAGAAGTTGGCGATAAATCGGCGATAATACGCGCACAAGCCGAGGAAACGGCGTACTGCTCTTTTATCTGATGGGACAGGGAAGGCGGCGACAGCAGCAGTTTTGTCTGGATCAGGTCGCACTCCATCCGCACTAATGACATGTCCCAGAAATTTCAGCTCTTCATAGCCGAAATGGCATTTTTGGGGTTTCAGCGTGAGTTCAGCTGTGCGAATGGCTTCCAGAACCTTTCTCAGACGCTTCAGATGTTCTTCAAAGCTCTCGGAAAAAATGACCACATCATCGAGGTAGACAAGGCAGCTTTGCCACTTCAAGCCAGCGAAAATTGTGTCCATCATCCTCTGAAAAGTGGCTGGTGCAGAACAGAGGCCGAAGGAATTCGTAAAGTCCGTCTGGAGTCACAAACGCGGTTTTTTCTCGGTCTCGTTCATCCACATCAATTTGCCAATAGCCACTTTTTAGATCGACGGACGAAAAATACTTCGCACGTCGTAACCTGTCGAGGGAGTCGTCGACCCGTGGAAGCGGGTAGACGTCCTTTTTTGTGACGCTATTAAGGTTCCTGTAGTCAATACAGAATCGCAGCGTTCGTCTTTTTTCTTTACTAGAACGACTGGCGAAGACCAAGCGCTGCTGGATGGTTGAATAATCCCGTCATCGAGCATCTCTTTTACTTGTGTCTGAATAGCCTCGCGTTCTTTGGCAGAAACGCGATAAGGCTGCTGCCATATGGGGCGAACGTCATCGTCGGTAATAATTCGATGCTTCGTGAGGTGTGTTTGACGGACTCTAGAAGAAGAGGCGAAGCAAGATCTAAACTCCCTTAAAAGGTCGTGAAGTGCAGCTTTTCTCTCGTCTGACAGCGTCGAATTAATGTCGATGTGGTCTAGAAATTCCTCATCCTCATGCGTTTCCTCGGACGCGAAGCACTCCGTGACGTCGGCAACAGGTTCTCCATAAGCTAGGGCGGTTCCGCGGAAAAGATGCCGGTGCTCGTATTTGAAGTTCGTAGCTAGTATCGTTGACTGTCCGTCACGGACGCGCACAACACTTCGGGCGGCGCATACACCTTGGAGCAGCAGAAGTGATAAGTTGCTTTCAGCCACCACGTCGCCGTCTTGGAAGTCTTCACAAGTGACTTCGATGGGAACAGTTGCTCGAGGTGGCAGCGTCACACTGTCGTCAGCAACACGCAGCGCAAGTCTACGGCAGTTATCAGCGTCTCGATCTGTTGCGCCTTGAGTCGAGAAGGTCACGATGCGCTCACAGAGATTTATGATGGCACCGTATTCCCGAAGGAAGTCCATGCCGATAATCAGCTGACGCGAACAGTCGCGAAGAACGAGGCAGCTGAGCACAAACGTTGACGCACGAATTTTGACTCTTGCGGTACAGCGACCCAGCGGTTTTACAACGTGTCCTCCAGCTGTTCGAATTCGCATTCCATTCCACGGCGTGATCACTTTCCTGAGATCTTTCGCTAGCCTCCCGCTGATGATCGAATTGTAAGAGAAAAATGACACTGATGAGATGCGAAGCAGCAGCGGTGCGCACAGCGTTGACCCGGTTGAAACGGGCGTCGACGCGGGTGCTGGAAGAACGGTTGAGCTCGGAAAGTTCCGGTGGGCGAGGCGGGTAACGGGAACCGTGCGTGATACTTATCGTCGTAACCTTGCCCGACGTCAGCGACTCTTTTCAAGGAGCGCAGACCACGAAGTCAGACGACTCCACATGGGACTCGCGTCGAATCACTTCGGTCACCACCTGCAGCTCCTTGCGGTTTCGGACAAAACTGACGTTGGACAGCTGGTTATTGCCAATGTTGGTGTTCTTGGCCACTATAGCACCGTTTAACGTTGATGCAGTGACGTTGGCTCCTAGTGGCGATGACTAGCGTCTATGATCGAACCACATACCGATGACTAGCATCTATGATTGAATAATACCGATGACTATCGTCTATGTTCGAACCACACCATATCGCACGCGTGGCTACTGTCACCAAAGCTACGTTGAAGGAACTCTCGTCGGAAGCAAGCGTCGGCTTTGGCGTTGCTGGCGGCCACGCGCGGACGTCATCGACGTTGTGGCGGCGAGACACTCCTGAATCGGCCGGTGGCATAGAGTTGTCCAAAATTAACAAGATGGTACTCGGCACTGCGATCATTTAGCGACCATGGGTATAATGAGTATTGCATGAATTTGCCTAGTCTTCGTGCTTGTGGGCGGCAAACGAACTTGTATCTTCGTTTATTGCGGTGCTGCTCATAGCTCGCTAGTGCTCATTGCTCCCCATAGAGGTGCAGCTGTGATGTTGATTTCAAGAGCGCTCACTAGATGGCGCGCCGCCGCTCAGGCGACGCTCACTCCGCTCTCAGCGCGTGCTCTAGTTTGATAAGAGACAGCTAGGCAGCCGCGCCTATATATAGCGCTCGCTCTCGGCACGCTTCCTTTTTCTTTCGCTGGACACCACTCAATGGCCGTCAATACCACTACCCCCTATGAGGAACGCAGAAGCCAAGGTGGCGGCGCGGAGAGCTGGCAATGCGTCTGCAGCGTGGGCTCGCCGTCCGGACCTTTCTCAAACTTTTCACTTGATCCTATAAATCAGGATCTCTGGATTTGTACTTTACGGATCGCAAAGCCATCTTAATAAGAGCAAAGCGCTCCCCGGAGCTTATGTGATCCGTAAATAAGCTCTTGCACAAAATGCATATACTGCATCAGTATTTAAATATCTGTATTAGTACAATAATGTGGAAATAATAAACAATGTGTGTATAACGTGTATATACAATCACACCACAGCAGCTCTCGTGCCGTCTTTATATGATGATGATATGGCATATAAGCCTAGTATTCACAGTTTATCGGGCGTAACCTCAGGAGCAAGCTCCTTCATCATCATTCACCTCGTGGATATGCGGAAACTTCGTTTGTTAGACGCAATATTAAAGATCTACCAGGTAATGCATTCAAGATAACTATAGGACATCTTATTAGTAGAAATTGCTATGGAAGTAAGTAAGAAAGAAAGAAATGGACAAAATGTTAACTGGCCGCTGGCATGGAGTGAACCTGCAAGCTCCGAACAACGCATCCGATGCTCTACCAACTGAACTAAACCACCAGTCACCCACCCACCCACTCTATGGGGTATATATGCGCAACTAAACGTGGGAGTGCCGGTCAGTGCCACTGGATAGCCATGGCGGCCAGTGCGGAGCCCGTTTTTTTTTTACTTGGCTGAACGCGACGTTTTCTCGTGTTGATACCGTAAATATATTCACGGGCCTATTCATAAAGAGATGCGAACATGCTCAAACTATGACAGTGACACAAGCTTCACCATTTTCCTATTTATACGGCATGCCGGAAATACTTGCCTCCTCGTCCCAATACTGAGAGGCACCTAGCGCTAACCTTTTGGAGCAAGACCACTTTAGCTGCATGTGAAGCAAAGCTTGACACACACACACACACACACACACACACACACACACACACACACACACACACACACACACACACACACACACACACACACACACACACACACACACACACACACACACACACACACACACACACACACACACACACACCACACACACACACACACACACACACACACACACACACACACACACACACACACACACACACACACACACACACACACACACCACACACACACACACACACACACACACACACACACACACACACACACACACACACACACACACACACACCACACACACACACACACACACACACACACACACACACACACACACACACACACACACACCACACACACACACACACACACACACACACACACACACACACACACACACACACACACACACACACACACACACACACACACACACACACACACCCACACACACACACACACACACACACACACACACACACACACACACACACACACACACCACACACACACACACACACACACACACACACACACACACACACACACACACACACACACACACACACACACACACACGCGCGCGCGCGCGCGCTTGGGAGATTTATATGGGAATATGGGAGAAGACGAAGACAACGAGAAAAAGCCGCCGACAATGTATAATCAAGTGCTATCACAATAGCGCACGAAACTTTTCTTCAAGTAAACATCTTCGGCCAATCACTGCCACTGGTGTTGTGATGCCTCGATTATTCTAATGTGTGACCACAGCTCGGCGGTGGCCAACTACCTGAGCTGGCGCATCGTGCAAGTGATGGGCCAGTACGCGACCGAGCGGTTCCGGCGGGCAAGGTTCCGCTTCGACCGGTACAGGTATCTGCTCCAGGACGTGGGCGAGATTCCACGAGCATGCGTGCGCCTCACGTCACGACTGCTGCACTTCGCCGTGGGCCGGCTCTACTTCGACCGGCACATCTCGCGGCCGGCTGAGCGGTACAGGAAAGTACGTGGACGAAGTATGAACTATCTAAGACAATGTATGTGTTACGCACGTTCATGATTGCACTCTGATATTGCACTGCCGAGCTCGTATATTTATCGTCATTCATGGAAAGCCATGTATCGCTTATTGCGCTGAATACGAGCTTGTCCACAAGATGTCTCATGATCACTGCCACGATCCTGACCATTGTGCTCGTTCGCAGCTGTACGACATGGCCGAAGAGCTGCGGGACGCCTTTGCTGTCCTCATTGACCTCAACACCTGGATGGACTCGGACACCAAGGAGAGGGCGAGGCAGAAGGTGCGCCCACTGAGAATACGTTTCATAATGATTGTTATAAAAACAGGTATACGACGACGAGCACTGCAGAGAACACAAAGATAAACGCACCCTGAATCATCATCGAGGCTGTGCAGATGGCACTCATGCAGGAGGAAGCCTTTTTTTATTCTCTCCGACGAGGAATCAAGAGTTCTAGGAAAATATCGGCACGTAGAACTAGTGACAATTGTTCTTCAGTTTTTCTTTTATGTTTCCTCCGGTTTATTTTTGATATGTGTTTTTCGCTTATGTTTTTTACTTTGCTTGTATTTTCTTGTCCAGCTGCATCACCTGCAGATGAACATCGGCTTCCCGCCCTGGATCAAGAGCGACCGGGACCTGGATGAAGTATTACAAGGACGTAAGTGCATGATTCTGTGCTCAGAATATGAGAGTGTTAACATGTTGAGATTAACGAGACTCGTGTTTCTGACCAGCTGCACTAATAATAACATTCTCTAGCTGCGACGCCCACAAGCAGACAAAATTGATAAGTAGATTTCAGTACACACTTTCACTTTGTCGCTGAATTTACAATACTTCCAAATAATATTTAAACCATCGTAAGGCCAACTACAAACTATAGTAGTAAGCATGTTTGGTTTTGGTTGAGAAGATTTACGCCGACTCTTGAGACGGTACAGGATCGGGGGATCAGGATAAGGATAAACCTGTTTTATTTAGAAGTACAGGAACGCTGAGGAGTCATTGCCCACAATCTCTCTCCTTAAAGGGGCTCTGAAACACTACTTTAGTAACCATAGAATGAATTTACTGGAAGAACTCACTGCCTCAAAAATTCAACAGCACAAAAATTATAAGAATCCGTCCAGTACGAGCAGAGTTACAAAAGTATGTCCCCCACTGCAATCGCATTCTCTCTTTACTCGTCCCTATGAAAGCACTGGAAGGTAATTAGAAAACGATTGCAGGGGAAAAGAAAATACGTAACGCACGCCTCGTAACCTTGGGTTTTTTTTTCTTCCTTCTTCGAAGAAGCAGTTTTTCCAGTGTGATCGCACGCGCATGCGTGGATAAATCATGGCCTCATGCGGCGATCTCTGTAAGGACCACGTGCGCCATGTTCAAATCACCCAATGACTAATAGATCGCCTTCTACGAGTGATTTTCGAACGTCTTACATCATTTTTTGTGGGAATAGAAAGTAATATTTAGGGATACTTGATAATTTATTGTGAATTATAGGCCATGTGCCGCGCTATACCATTGGCTCGCGTGTTCTCGGGAGCCCTTACTATCGATCGGCAGCGTTTTCTAACCATGCTCAAAAAGTGTGGAAGGCCCTCTTCAACTCATCTGGAAGAAGTCCGTAATGCGGTCATCTTTGCAGATGCCCCATTATTTTTTAAATGCGGAGCATCTTATACTCGCGCCTTGTAGTGCGCCGTCCGCGCCGTCCGCGCCGTCCACACCGCTTCTCGAACATTCGACAGCTGACGCGCGCGCATGCGCCGTCGCGCCGTCGCCCACTCTTCCACCATCTGTGCATCCCTTCCTCCTCTACACACCGCGCGCGCTTCACTCCTCCACCATCTGTGCACCCTTCCTCCTCTACACACCGCGTTCGACATCTACAATTCTCCTGATTCTCCAGTGGACGCGCATGTGGCGTCGCGCTTCGAGAACATTCAACAGCTGACAGTGCATGCGCCGTCGTGCTGTATATATACTCAAGGTCGGCGCTCGCTCGCTCAGTTGCCGCTCGTCGGTTGGTTTGTACGGCGCGTCGACGTCCAAGGTCGCGGTGAAATGAATTCCAACGAATCCACAAACACAATGATCGACGTCCCTTCGACCAGCGCCGCCCTTTCGCATACGTGTGTACGTGTTCACTCATTTAACACCCCCTCCTACAACCACGTTAACCAATTTAGCCATCGACCCAAGTAAGTCGCAATTTAACACCCCATTTCACAACCACGTTAACCAATTTAGCCATCGACCCAAGTAAGTCGCACTTTAACACCCCGTTAACCAATTATATGGTCCGCATCCTCCTCAGTGTTCCCCCGAGGGAAGCTGCGGGCAATTTTTTTGAAATCCTGCCTGAATGGTAAAGCACTGCACGTATGTTGGCATCACGGCATGGGCATGGACGCAACGCATGTTTTTTGACGGTGGTATCCCTTACTTTTCTTTGACGTCACTGTACCATAAACGCAGGTTCCGGACTTGCGCAAGGAGGAGTTCTTCATCAGCCTCCTGCGCACGCTCAAGATATACAACCGCATCATGTTCGCCCGATTGCGCCGCTTCAAGAAAGCCGAGGACTTTGGGTGAGTGTAAAGTGCGCCTTTGTCACGCTGTTCCTTCGAGTTCCCGTCAAACATTCTTCTTTTCAGTGCGACAATGTTCATTCTTACCCGATTTCGCCGTGGAATACTGGAAAAGGGTTTATGATTGTCGTGTGGACATGGTGTTTTGGGGTTCGTTAGTGCTCGGAAAGAGTACGCGCGCACAAATGGGTCTTGTCAGGACACAATAGGCGTAAATTTTCAGCACGCGCGCTCCCGAAGCCAGGCAGTTGTATTGAACAACGTCGTGTAAATAGTACGCATACGTTGAAGGCTGAACACAATGCTTCAAAAAAAGTGAACGATAAATAGCTGGAAGGTAAATGAGAGGACATTCGATCATTGCCTGTTTCCAATAAATATAGTAATAGTTAACCTGGCGCTTCAGTTTACAGTAGCAAGTACTGCAGCGTAAAATGCGCGCGAGCCTTTTGCGTTCAGCTCATCATTTTCGTACAGAAAGTCACTTGACGACCTAGACAAACCAAGAATGGATAATGCATAGACGCAGATTGGCCCAACCATCGGAGGTTTCGATAAGGCTAAGTGATTAGGAACATTTCCAAACAAACGTAAACGATGGGCAGTTAACCGAGCATTATTTACAGAGTCGATCTTGCTGGCATTCAGCAAAAGTTAATAAAGCACGTGTTACATTCGATGTAATGAAAATACTGTTTAATTCAATACGCAAAATTATGCCACGAATTTCTTCGCAGGTGGATCCCGCCTTACCCATCCAGCATGATGCACTACAGCCTACTGGGAAACTATATGCGTATGTGTAGCCATTTCACCCTTTAGCTTCAAGTTCTCGAACTCCTTCAGTGTCGCGTGAAACCATTGTCGAGTACAAAGCGCTACGCCTGAATGCGGTCTGTTTTAATTCTTCTCTTCTAGTGCTCCCAATCGACTACATTCAGTACCCGTTTTTTCTACTGGACATGACACCGTAAGTTGGTCATACGCTTAATTTTTTTTCAAGTTTTTACGGTGTTATTTTTAGAAGATTACTTTCGCACTTTAAAAAGGTGCATGCGTATAGCAATCCTCTCCTCCCAGCTCTGCAGTGGGCCAGGTGTTACCATTTTACATTTTATTGCATGAAGCTTTCAAAATTTTAGGAGCAAGATCGGATGCAGCCCGTCAATGTAGCAACCGGTCACGAGGATCAAGCCTATCAATAATGTCCCTATGGGATCAGTGGCGAATCGTTTGAACAATAAATATCACACGAGACAACGTTTCGACTGGACCTTGTCTTCGTCAGAGCAGCTACCTTCCTTTGCAGACTTTCCTGTGGTGTTATTTCCAAAAGCCTCCCTGCCCTCTCATCAGATAAGTCTTCTGGTTGAAACGTCATTACCAGCGACACAGCCTGTGCCCCGAATAAAGTCTTAAATATACTCTATATCTTGAACTTCTGTGCTGTCTGAAATTACACACTGAAGGAGTAACCTATTCGGTATATTGATTAACAGTACAGTCAAACCTGCGCGTCCCGAACTCGAAGACGAAACTTGAATTTAATATATCAGGAAATCGGGAAATACAACTACGATGAAATAATAAAACTGCCTTTTCATTGTGCACCTCGCAAGCCATATAAATGTACGTCACTGCCTATTGATATGGTAGAAAAGGATGTTCTTTCATCAGCACGGGGGCTTATGTATTTATTTATTTATTTATGTATTTATTTATTTATTTATTTTTTATGGGAATATGGGATTACACACCGGGAATGGTTATAAGTGGAAAAATCTCCACCAACCTAATCAGCACCGCGATATTCCCGAGCGCAGCTGTGCGTTCTCGAAGGGTGCCGGAAACATCTAGCTTGCCATGTCCTATGGTCAACCATGTTTTTCATTACTCAGCGTAATTCTTGAGATAAGCAGCGACGATGCGTCTTTTCTTCAAATTTGACCATACTGAGCATCACCAGCTTTGAGAACAACAGGCTATTTTATTTTGCGTTATCTACCACGTTAATAAACAAGTAGAAAAATATCCGAGGAGCCCGCACCATGGGGAAGTTGTGCGACGACAGGGTTCACCGGGGTAAACCACAGGCAGGGCATGATGAAAGTTTCTGCTCTGCGCAACGTCCTTTTAGTCATACCGCTCAGTGAGTGAAATGAATTCGGAAAAAATAATACTTTTCCGCGAGGTAAAGTCGAAACATTGTGCGGTAAATAAGGAAGCTTCTTGAGGCATTTACAATTGCGCAATGTTTGAAACTTGATGAGTTCCGGCTTTTTTTTGTTTGATTGAGTCCCGTAGGTTATCGCATGCCTTGTCTTGAAGCATTCTCATTAGTCGAAAATATTTTTATATATGAAGGATCATGCTATCTCCTGGTGTTCCATATAGTCAGATGCTGTACTTCCTTATATTCTGTCCTGTTCTTTTTCTTCCTCACTGCGCTGGCAAAAGCAGGCACGAAAGTTCCGCAAAGTTGAAGGTTGGGCTAGTTGGGGACAGTTCAGTTTGACATGTGAAGCAGCATTTTTTGTGCCTTGTTTCATGCGCTGCTTCTCACATTAAGATGAATCGGCCGAAAATTTCATGGTAAGTGCGACAAAAAGAAAGGAAGTATGTCTATTCATAAATGCGACAACGCTGCGATCAGTATTATTCGTTCGGTCTTAAGTTCACTTCATCTGCATGGCTTCGGACAGAGTGAACGAGCAGCACCAGTTAGAATTGTAATAGTGTAGTCTATGCCAATGGATTTATTGCTGTAGCCATTTGTAGACGCGGAAACAATAACTATGTAAACAGTATTGACATTTGTTTGTTTGTTTCTTGCTACAGTACATACGCTCGCAATGTAATCTCCCATTATCAACCTTGCCCTGCACAGACCCATCAATTTCGGTGCCCTCGGAACCATTATGGGGCAGCAGTTGACGTACGGCTTCGGAGAGCAAGGTGAGGCCACGAATTGATTCTTAAATGAGAGCCACTAAATAAAAATACTAAATAACTTGGCCTGAGTTAGTACTCTTCAGGAAAGATATTTCCATTAGCATCCGACAAGGATGACGACTATATACAATGAAAACGAATGCGAAAGTGACAAAATACCAGCTCTGATCAGTCTTCATGGCGTGCAAGATCTCAGAGTACATTGTACCAAACTTGCGGCCCACAGGCGCCCTTTACGACGAACACGGCAAACTGGTGGAGTGGTGGTCTCGCGAGACCCACCGCAAGTTCATCATTGGCGCCCGCTGTCTCTCCGAGCAGTACGACCAGTTCAACAACCCCATCACCGGAATGAAGGTATGCGCAACAGCGGATGCTGATCGGATGATCCTCGAATGTTTGCGCGACGATGTTTGGCCCAGGAGTGACTGATTGAACTTTTCCTGTGATCCGAAACTTGGCTGTGCCGTGGTGTGTTTTCCTTCGATGTGTGTGTGTGTCTGGGATGTTACAAATGCGCTGCGTGTGCGCGCAAGAACGCTTGCGTGTTGTTTGTATACGATTTGATCCTGGTCTTTTCTCCACCTCAGTTGAGCGTCAACAACACCCTGGAGACGAGCATTGCCGACAACGCGGGCCTGCGACTCGCCTTCAAGGTATGTGTCCCAGGAGGAGCCATGGTTGGGCAGTTGATGACCGTCATGTACGTCGAAATTTCTAAGTGTATGTGGTTGGCATGGGGCAGGGTTTAATCTCCTATTCTTCCACCTGGCCCGTAGGAGATTTGCTGACTTAAAAATAATTCATTCATCTAACCGCCTATTAAATTCCCCTTCCCGATACAGGCCTTCCGGGTGTACATGACCAAGTACGAGGAGCGCTACGGCATGTACTCCATACCCGGAATGGAGCCCTGGACCATGGAGCAGGTCTTCTTCATCGCGTACGCCCTGGTGAGCATTGTCAAACTTTACAGCCCGCAACTATTCTTGAGCTACACGAGAGCACACTACCTCTGGGCTCTTGTATGTGGGCGCAAGATAAGTCCTGCCGTCCTTGCAAGTTCATTTTATTTACTAACCTATTCAAAATAAAAAAAAAAACGCGCGCAGATGGTTCTGTGAACTCAATTGATTCAACTTTCTTTTCATGCTATGCACGAATACACATCATGATTGATGGCTTTTATCATATTCAAACGATGACATGGGGCATAATTACGGTTCAAAAGCCTGTTCGCGTGTATTTATCCGGCATTTAAACGCGGTGAAACGTATATACTTCCTTGTCTGCACACTATCTCTTAGCTAATTACCTTAGATTAGGATTCTCTTAGCTAATTACCACTAGTATTAATGAGTGTTCCCTTTAACTTTAAATAACTCTAAATAATAAACAACCACAAAATTTGTGTTCCAAACTGGACCCTAAACGTATTATTGTAAAAATGGTGACAATTTGACACCACTGTTTCTCTTTCTGCTTGCATCCGTAGTTTTTACCGAAGTGAGCCCCTCCCCTCCCTTCCTCCCCAATAATGTGTAAAGATCAGTCGACTAATGAATCATTGTCCGATAGCTGAATTTCTTGCTTTTATGCCAATCTAGATAGTATGAGACATCTTCAATTACGAACAACTTTTTTCACTCTTCATATTTTCACTGCAGTCGCGATGTGAGGTCTCCCGGAAGCGCTCCATGTACTTCTACCTGCGCCCCCGTGACCAGATACCCAACCGCTTCCGGTGAGTAGTCACCTGAGTCGAATACACTGAGCTTTATTTCGCTCCCACGGTAAAATCCAACGACTTTTCTTGCGGGACTACAACAGTACACTTATGCTTGTTTTTTTAACTTTATCGCTTGCGGTCAACATGCAAATGCGTTATATGCCCAACTCCACGACTACATTGTCTATATCAGTACTCACAAAAGTCAAGCCTCTTTTACGCAACACTTCTCGTTATCTAACTGTCAGACGTCTGCATGCTCACAAATCACCATGGTGTAAGACATTATGGCTGCATGACCGTCACGGCATGAATAGCCGGGATGGTCATTCCCAAGCAACATGCACGTAACACAAGTTGCCGGCCCGTATAGCTTTATCTTGTGCACATTGTTCGATGCAATAGCTGTTTCGTGAACAAAGACAACTTTTAATCGCCAGTGTTTGTGCCCACCGATACTCCAATTAAGATTGTTTTTTTCATCGTTATTGGCATATGTGGGCCTCCAAGATCTGCTTCTGGCTTAGAACTTAGTGACGTCATGGCCCGGAGTACACCGATATGCACCTTCACACAGCACGAAGCTTGAAGTTGGCTTTAAGAAGTACGAACTCTCCCCCACCTCCTAAAAACTACAAATAAAGGGGAGACACGGCTCTCGAAAGAGTTTTTTTATTTTTGATTGATTTCGATTAAACTTGTTGAGATTATGTATATATGTGAGTTGATTTTGAATATGCAATTATTTTTTTGTAAAAGGTCTAGTTTGTAAAATACAAAATGTTTTCTGTGGCTTTTGGGGAGCGAGATTGTTTTGAAACTTGAAGAGCTACAAAGTGAGTTGATATATCACAATATTCTGGAATCTGGACTGTGTGCAATGGTACAAAATTGTATGTTCCAAATCAATTTGAACAAACGTTATGGTACGTTGAACACTTGTATTTGAGTCAATTTCAAGCTAGAATTTCACTGGCAAGTGTTCAAGACTGCTTAACATTTCTTCTAGTTGGTTTGGAACATTCATATTTTGTAGCATTGCAATCAACTTTGATTCCAGATTATTTTGATATGCTCATGTACCTAGTCACTTTTTTTACTTTAGACAAGAACCTGCTTTCCGAAAGGCACATGAAATATTTAGTATTTTGAAAACTACATTTAACACAAGAAAAGTAATTGCAGATTTTAAATCTACACACATATATAATACACTTGTCAAGTTTCATCAAAATTGATCAAGAAATAAACGTTATTTAATTGCTGTGTCCCCTGAACATTTGCATATTTCAATTTTTTTATTTATTCAAGTACCCCACGGGCCTACTATAGGTGCATTTTATGGGGGGGGGGAGACACATAAATAAAAAAAATTCGCAGAGAATGAATAATTGTAGGTTAACACAATTCTACGGTTCACAAATTCATAAACATCAAGGCAAGCAATACAACAACCAATACAACGTCGGATAAAACACAATTCTTAGTGAAAGTTACATGGCTCTAAATACGTGAGCAATTCTGAATTAAACAAGCAAGGTTCAGTTATATTGGCAATTCTGGAAGGTAATGCATTTTATTCTTTTACTGATAACGTTAATGGCAAATGTTTGTATTTTTCCAGACGGATGAAAATAAGGTTGACATTGAAAGTGTGATCGGTGCGACTAGAAGTAGGAGATGGCGGTAAAATATGCGTCCGGGCAAATGACGTGTTAGAATGATACAGGTGTGGAAAAAACGCAATCCGGAAATTTGCCAGCGCGCAGCAAGTGGCGGCATGCTCTGCTTTGCTTTCAAAAATGAAACGCTTTGAAATCGCGAGTATGATGATAGGATGGATTGTGCTGCTTTATTATGAAATCAGAAGGGTTATGAAATCAGAATGATGCTTATAAAACCATAACGGAAGTTTTAAAGTGAAGACCAGTAAACTGTCCTGAGAAATAAGAAAAGAATTTGATGTTTACATCGAGAGGTAAGACAGGATTCCTGTGACTTCACTCTAAAAAAAGAGCGAGTAAAAAGGGTGTCTTTTTGTCCCACAACAATAATCGTCATCTATATTGCGTTCCATCCTTGCGCTATCGCCCCGCGCCTGGTACATTCCGGTCACAACGACATGCCCATTATCAGGGTTACATTGCATTCTCGTCAGGAAAGTGGCCAGCGCCGAGTTTTCAAGAAAGGAAGCGCACGCAAGCCTGACGACGATTATTGTTGTGGGACAAATGACACCCTTTTTACTCGATATTTTTGTAGACTGTAGATGGAATACGTGGTTACATAGACCAGCTGGTCATATTTTGCATTGTACTTCGAAATTTATGCACTAAGAAGCTGCTGACGTATATGAGCTTCTGCGCATAGCATTATTGTACATGCATGTTTTCACTTGTGCTGCGCCGAACATTTCATGGTCTATATTCATTGTCTATGTTTTATGGTCTATGTTCACCCATGTCATCGTTGCTTGTCATGTATTAGAGGGGCTCAAGTTTTCCTCAAGTGACAAGTCTTTCTTTCTTTCGGGCTTGCCCTCACCTTTTAAATGAAATAAAATTGAATTGAATTGAATTACAGCGCCACCTAGCTGAGCACATCTAGACCACGCCCTTGTTTCTACATGACCTCTGCACGTTATCTGCAAAGGCCACGCAGGCATAAGCACAAGGCATAAACTCGTCTAGTGCGCCCAAGTTAATTGGTCAAGTTCATCATGCAGGATGCACCTTGACAATACGTACTACCAAATTTTGTTTCATATCAAAGTCAATTGAAGTGAACCAAGAGTTTTCGAAATACAAGTGACTCCCGCAATTAGAAACATATTAAAGTTTCCCAAAGTTTTTTTTAAATATTGATTCCTAAAGTGAATCCGCCTAGTTCAGTTATAATGGAGTCTGTTGTTTTTCACGCTAAAACGAATATACAGAAGGCGAATACGAATAAACTAATATACAAACGTCTTATCCAAATGCACTCCTTTCATTTTCATATAGTGTAGCAAAGTTCTAAAACGTAATTAGACATCTTGAACCTTCGGACATCTTGGACAAGGAAATTTGGTTTAAAACTGTTGGGGCTCATTCCTGCGTAATAACGGTAGGGTGATTAACAATCACTTTCAAAATATACGGGTTGAAAGGGCTGGAGGTCACCGAAAGGACTCTCCTAGACGACTTCTCGTGTTGAAAACCCCAGCTGTTGTTCGCCCTGAAAAGAACTTCCTATATACGATTTCATATTCTCAAAGGTCGCACTCTTGTGGCTTCGCAGGACCATCATCCCGCTGATGAATTTCGAGCGGTTCTCGGCCATCTTCAGCTGCAAGGTCGGCACCATCATGAACCCGGACCAGAAGTGCATTGTCTGGTAGCCGGACTGGCCCTCCGCATGGCGTTCCGAGCAGCCGCACGCGCTGGCTAATACAAATAGCCTATAATAATTTGCATTTCACGATTCACTCCTTTCTTTATCTTACTTCTACAAGTGAACGTGGTGTAGATCAGTGCATGGGCGAAATGCTTGGAAGCCGTAAAAATATATTGCACGAGCTTAAAACGAGATAGTTTAAACCTTGCGTCGGGCCTGAAAGCAAAGTTCGCCATGTTTCACAAATGGTGAACAGGCCCTGTTTCCTAACAGTAACATAGCCGCATTCTATACGAGCATAAATCGAGCAAGAGTTATCATAATTTTATATGAAAATAATTCGTACTGTCCTATCCATATGCCTTGTCGTGAATCCCTCTCAAGCACTGTTACTATGCGTGAACAATGTTGGCTATTGTGATATGCATGACCATAAAATCAATTCTTGATCTCAAAATAAATTGTTACTTAAGCGCACTATCCCGTCTCCTTTTCCTTTCTTTTCGCGTCTAGAAACTTGTCTACAACGAAGTATTGCTCTCCATTACTTTTGTTCTGCAATGATGCAAAGTTGGGTTCACCTATACCTCTGTGACACATAACTGCGCAACAAGTGCGCAATTGCAAAGCTCGCAGTTTTATGATTGTATTTGTTTTACAAATATTCCTTGAGCTATTTTATAATAAATCATTGGCTGATGATGCGCTGGGCACTCTCTCTGGCGCCAACGCTGCAACTCTGGTCGTAAGAGCGGTAAGCTCCAACATTAAGCCGACTAGACAGAACGTTCATGTTAACACATAGGCATGCACATGGTTTCCATTAAAGAGAGTGGAGGGGGGGGCGAAGGCTCTTTGCACTAATTCCCACTCTAGAAGTTAATGTAAGGGGCTGGCTTTGAGCCCTTCCCTTTTCAGGTCACCAGGGGGTTGGGGAAGGCGACTACCCTGCCCGCCTCGTGTGCACGCCTGCGTTATGCTCCTTTACCGCCACGATTCGGACTTCCTGTACGTTCCCCTTCCCCGGTGTACAGGCTACAAACTAGGTTAATTTCTTTGTATTTCTCTTATCTTTCATTCTCTAGCGTACTATTTTTCATGCCGACCTGTAAATAGCTCGTTTATTACCTGTACGAAGGCCTTTCTTTTCCAACTCGGTAGAACAGTGTTTGGCAGCTGACCCGAAGGCCACGGGCTCGTTCACGGGGTCGTCGATTGCATTTCGATTGATGCTTAGTGGTAGAAGCCCGCGTACTGTGCGATGACAGTGCACGATGGAGAACACCAGATGGTCAAAATTTCCGGAGTCCTCACGACATCAATCATAATCGCATTGTAGTTTTGGGACGTAAAAGCCTTTATAATATCATCATTATTATCACTATTATTCTGAATCTTGTAACTACACTTCTCTGTCTCTCTCTAGCCATGAAAATGTGTTTGCTTGACTCTCACTCTATTTTTTTCAAAAGATTCAAAAGCAAACAAACTTCTTTCAATAAAGAAATATACGTATTGGAAAGTTTACGCTAAGCAGCGCTAAGGGGATAGAACGGCGTTAGCTTGATGGATGAGAGCATGACAGTTCATACACGTGAGTAGCAATCGAAGTGAATAGAGCAGTGAACTGCTCGGGGAAGGCTAATGTAATAATAAAGTGAATTGAATACCGAGGGGAATTCACGGATGATTTGTGTTATAAGTGAGCTGAGTACCAAGGTGATCAGTGAAAGTAACATTAGTGGCAGTTATATCCTGTACGGTGGTCGTTGATACCAGGCACGCGGCTAAATATTCACAGCGGATGCATTTCCCCTTTGAGCTGTCTAAGGCGAACGGATAAGGGACAGTATGAGTTTTCATTTCCACCTCGTTAGAAAAATATGGCCCCAATAGGATGAAAGAAACAAATGGCAGGAAAATTGTTAAAAAAGAAAGAATTAACAAAAATATACATAGACCAAGACATACAAGGTAGCCGCACAAAATGGCGGTTCTAAGAGTCCTGACATATCCAAACAACTCGTGAAAACATTAGCCGCTCTACTGACGCAAAGTACCGAGTATGTACGTACGTACATGCACTCTGGACGATGAAGAGAAGGATGATGGAAACAGGAACACCACCATAAAAAATGCCAGGCCTGTACGAAAGGCGCAGCTCAGTCACAGCGAAAGCTAGAAGAGCGGCCTTTCAGAGCCTTTTCAAAACACTCATTGGGTAACTACTGCAAGCAGACTTGCTTGGTACCCACTAGGGCATAAATAATACACTTTTGGGTAGTAGGCTCCGATTCGCTAGGTCGATTTTCGTCATTATTCTGAAAAGTGTAATGGCCGCTAAACACTTCCAAGGAATTTTGTGCCAGTTTTTCACGCAGTGGCTGACGATGATGAGGAATCATGCCTGAAGTGGGTATGCACCACAGTTAATAGCTGATTAAGAACAAGCCTTTGTAATTGGTTGGAGCATCGGACGACCCACTTGTTACGCTATTCGCATTGTGTGACGTCTCGTTGTTCTTGTTTTTTTTTTGCTGCTTTAAAATGTTTTATCACTCATATTAACGCGATTGCTTTCCCAACATCAAACCTGCCTAAGCCAAGTCAGCCACGCTAGTCAAGCAGTGGCCCGTGTGCTCAGATTTGGGTGCACGTTAAAGAACCCCAGGTGATCTAAATTTCCGGAGCGGTGATCTAAATTTCCGGAGCCCTCCACTATGGCGTCTCTCATAATCATATAGTGGTTTTGGGATGTTAAACCCCACATATCAATCAATCAATTAGTCAAGCAGTGATAGTTAGGCCTGACGAGAACACGATACCGCAACTGGTTGATGAGGCTTTGCCCTCGTCGTCAGCGTGAAGAAATCGATGAGAGAAGAAAAGACAATTCGAGTATTTAGGCGTCGGTTTAAGCTCCACGTTCATCCTAAAATGGTCGCTTGCGTGAAAAATTTTCGAAGTATATTTTCTGTAGACCGTGTAATGTGGTTGCACTCTCATCCAGTGCACTCGTTGTAAACGTTATATTGCAAGCACGACAAAGCAGCGTCTTAGCCAGTGCTCAGCTCGGCGGCCTGTTTTCGCACGTGACCATGCAGGCTTCACGGGTGTGAAACCGGTTAGCGCCGGTCAGGCACCGGCGATCTCGCAGCACACTAGGCGATGAGCGCAGGCACCGGAGGCGGCCATCCGTGGTGAATGAATCGGCAAAGAATGGGTACTTGAGGTGGCGCTGGTCGCACGCTATAGCCCGAGGTGGACCGCACGGAGAACGCCCAAGTTGGCCCAAGCACTGCGTTCGGCACTCGTGGACCGTACGGAATACGGCGCTGTCATCGGCAGGACACCCGCCCGACGGAAAGTTCCATGGGACACACTTGTGCCCATCAAAGAACCACCAGCTGGAGAGCACGTCTTGCCTGCATTCGCCCAAAGTCAATGAGCCATTGCTTCATTCCCAATTTGCCTTTATTATGTATGCATGGCTGTATCGGCTACAAGGAACACAGCTGTCACCCAACGTAATATACAAAGGTGCCTTGATGACACCTGACATTCAATAACGTGTTCATTGCGCACATAATACTGCAGCAGTGAACATTCAACTACGCGAACCAAGCGGCTCCACATTGTGTACCAACAATACATTACCAATGGTAGCAGTTATACGAAGCAATCATTCCAGCTGTGGGTATTAAGCCACCTATACGAAGATCAGATATATTGCATGGCTGTAGCAGATGAATGAGACATGCCGCATCTATCGCCAAGTGCCATAAACAGTGCTCTCTGTGAATGCCCGGCATGACTAAAGATAAAAGGAGCACGTAGATACTGAATACAATCGTCAACTGATGAGTGTTTTGATAAAAGTGCCCAAAAATGGTTTCAGTTCAACCATCACTGGCAGGAACTTTTCTCTATAACTCATCGCCTATTGAGTTTTACAACGAAAGTACATGGAAAAACAAAAGTCTCTTAGAAATCTTGTTAACCTTTAAATAACATACCAATAAAGATTACTGGTACATTTTCTCATGCCTTCACACACACACCGCAGAAAATACTAAAATAAGTATCTTCATTTTTAGTCCGCCCCGCCGTGGTGGTCTAGTGGCTAAGGTACTCGGCTGCTGACCCGCTGGTCGCGCGATTGAATCCCGGCTGCGGCGGCTGCATTTCCGATGGAGGCGGAAATTTTGTAGGCCCATGTACTCAGATTTGGGTGCACGGTAAAGAACCCCAAGTGGTCGAAATTTTCGGAGCCCTCCACTACGGCGTCTCTCATCATCATATGGTAGTTTTGGGACGTTAACCCCACATATCAATCAATCAATCATTTTCTAGTCCAGCGCCAGTTCTTGGTGTAATTGTTGGTTCTAATCACTTGCAGGCATGCAAACATTCTAGGCATTTGTAAATGGTTCGCTTTACTTACTCAGCTTTGCCTTCAAGAAAACTTTAACGAAACAGCCATGAGAAATACTACACGTCCACTGCTCAAGTTCTCATTTGTATTGCGCAATGATTTCGTTTTTATTTGCGATAACTGACTTCTTTACCTTGCTGTATTAAAGTCCTCTTTCATGTTCTCGCTCCGCTCTTTGAGTTTTCCCGAAAGCAAAAACAATTTACTTGTGAAACATTCACGACAGACAATGCAACTTATAGGCTGTGACACATAGACACCCAAAGTAATAATGTCGCATGCCTGTGCTTACGTTGAGCGGCACGCATACTATTCATGGTCACTAAAGCTAGCAGAATACTAGCTCTCTCTCTGCTTACTACGCGCCGTCGAAAATTGTATAAATTCGATCTTTAGGATTGATCGATATGTGGGGTTTAACGTCCCAAAACTACCGTATGATTATTGGAGACGCTGTAGTGTAGGGCTCCGAAAGTTTAGACCACCTGGGGTTCTTCAACGTGCACCCAAATCTGAGCACACGAGCCTACAACATGTCCGCCTCCATCGGAGATGCAGCCGCCGCAGCC